ACAGTTCTATTTTCTATTTGTTCTTACTCGTGATTCATTCAATTTTTTTKTGTGTGTGTGAGTGTGTGTTTGTTTAACTGAATCTACTTGTCCTTCTAAAATTATCTAATGTAAATTATCTGAGTAAAAATGAAGGATTTATATTTCTTTTTTTCACGTTCCTAAGGACCTCACTAATCAATCTGGTATTACTTCAACTCAATTCACCATTTGAAACAAAGAAGGTTATATAAAATTGGGTTCAGAGCTAAATTATGGTTATAATTAGACACTGTACCAAGATTCTTTCTTCATATTCACTGAGGTTGCATGAGAAAGTTTAAGATTACAYGAGGGAGTAGCCTACAGCGGTCTAATCTTTAAGGATGAAAAACTGGGAAAACCTATTAGAACTCATACCCTAGCAGCTTTTACTTTTCTCTTTGCCCCATAAGGCTTGCAAACCATAAGCCATAGTTGCCAGTCTGGCAAATGCTCATAGGGCATTCAGTTATAAATACAACTTTCTAAATTTTTACCTTTTGTTTGATGTAGTAATTCTTTAATTTTTTCTTAGCTCTTTGATGCTTTGTTTTCTATTTATTGATTCTTTTCAATTATATATAACATTAGGATATATTTTGAAAAATTATAAAACCATGAAATTTAATTTGTTCTCATGCAATCCCYAGTACTGCCCCTTTTCCTCCTCCTCTACCTCTCCCTGTTCCCTCACTTCTACTATACTGATCTTTCTGCGATTTATTTGTATTACTGTCTTGTGGATATATATAACAGTGAAATTTACTGTGGTATATTCATATATAGACTTAGGAAAACTAGGTCAGTTTCATTCACTATTCTTTCCTTACCCCATCCGTCCTCCCTTCCCTTTGATCCCTTTCATTTACTCTACTCCTCTTTCTTCTATTTTTTTAATGCTCTCTTGTTCCCCTTATTCTGGATTAGCTTCTACATATCAGAAAATATTCTACCTTTGACTTTTGGGGACTGGCTTATTTCACTTAGCATGATAGTCTTCAGTTCCACCCATTTTTGGGCAAATGCCATAATTTTTTTTTCTTAATGGCTCAGTAATACTCAATTGTGTATGTGTCTGTGTATTTCATATTTTATTTATCCAATCATCTCTTGAAGGGTTTGTTCCATAGCTTGTCTATTGTGAACTGTGTTGTTATAAACATTGATGTGGTTGTGTCACTGTAGTATTCTGATTTTAAATCTTTTGGATATACCCTAAGGAGCAGGAGAGCTGGGTCACATGGTGGTTCCATTCCTAGTTTTTTGAGGAATCTCCATACTGCTTCCAGAGTGGCTGCACTAATTTGTAGCCCCAACAATAATGTATGAAGGTACCGTTTCCTCATATCCCCACTAAATTTATTGTTAGTTGTATTTTTGATAACTCCCATTCTGAGTGAAATGAAGTCTCAATGTAGTTTTAATGTGCASTTCCCTAATTGCTACAGATATTAAACAGTATTTCATATATTTGTTGATGATCTATATTTCTTCTTTTGAAACTCGGCACCAAATAAAACACATAACCCAATTAATAAATGGGCAAAATAACTAAATAACCACTTCTTTGATGCTTTTTAAGACTATATTCCCCACCAGCAGTTTTTGATGATTTTCATGAGGCAAGCAAATACCCTAGGCCAACCAAATATCTATAAATAGGAGAGGTTGAAGATTTTAAAAAGTATAACACATGCAACAAAGCTTACAGACTTTTAATTTCTAAATGGAAGCAGAGAACACAAAAAGTCAATAGAGTCTTCAGATACCTAAAGTACTACAAACCCAGGTCTTTTCCTTTTCTTGATACCTTCCATTGTAAGAAAGATTTTATGCATCATGAGTTCAATCTGTTAGGTCTAAAGTAGCTCTCAGAACTTCAGAAAAATTATCTAAGGAAAAATTGTTCAAAGCAATAACAGAAAGCATCAGCATTTTGAGGTCTAAGTGGAGAAAGACCTAAAGACTCATTTCTCACCATTCTTCTTTGAGTGCTTGCCCAAGCTCCTCCAGTCCTACCCTTGTCACTTCTAGGCTGTCTTAAAATCTTTCACTGGGTACATGGCATAGGTTTTATTGATTTTGTTACTCCAGGCAGTTTTCCAAACAAAAAAGAATGGTTATTTATAATTTCTAGACCAAAATCATAAATATCATCAGTGAATTACACTGAAATGTCATTAAAACTCTACAGAATAGAAGTCTTTATAAAGTGACTGTGTCTTGGCCAGGTGAAAAGGACATTAGTTATAAAAGTAGCAAAAGGACCTTATTGTGGGTAAGCTAAAACTCTTAGGTGGTCTTAACAGTGTATACTCTGAGGACAGCTTTATAGCAAGGCTCCTGACACAGACCATTTAGACTGGGAGCCAGGCTACATTTTTCTCCCTAAAATTATATGGAAAATCAGTTGTATTCCAGTAAATTGCCCCTTTGTGAATGAAATAACCTTACTTAGATTTTCATACTGTATAACTTTTTATACAGATCATTTTACTTTTTCCTTGAATATTCTGTAAATAATTCAATCTAAAACAATATCCTTGAGATTAGGAATTTATAGTGATATCTTCAAGAAATTGCCTGGAAATGTTAAGTACCCTTTATTCTTTATAAAAAATAATTTCTATACACTAATTTTGAGAAAGATTAGAGTTTTTCCTGGCACATCCTATTTCAAAATACTCCCATGTCTGCCAACTACCAGTTTACGAATTCTCTGACATCCTTAAAGGGATGTGTTTTACAGGAGAACTGACTTTATATTACTCTCCCATGATGCCACAATGCCTGAAATAAATATGCTGCTTTCAATTCCTACAGGGGATTGTATTGTCTGATGCCAAACCGCAGGTGAACACACTTTTTAAAGTTGGTCATATCTAACAACCCAGCAATTTCACCCTAAGGCTTATGCCCTAGCCTACAGCAGTGATTCTCTAAGTATGTTCTCTGGACTAGCATCATTGACATTAAATGAGAACTGGTTAGAAATACAATTCTTCTATGTTAAATGAACTCAGCCAAACTCAGAAAATCAATGGTCATACCTTCTCTCAAATGTGGAAGCTAGGGAGAAAAAAAAGGGGGAGGGAGAGTGGGGATCTCATGAAAACAGAAGGGAGACTACTGGAGTAGAGGAAGGATACTGGGCAATAAAATTGACCCAATTATGTTATGTACATGTATGAATATGTAAAAACAAATCCCCTTATGATGTAAAATTTTAATGCACCAATAAAATGATAAGAAACATAAAAGTCCAAGTCTTCTAGGTGATTTCGATGTCAGATTAAAATTGTACTGTACTAACAATTAAGTATTCACTACACAATATAGAAAATGCATGAAAAACAAAAACAACATTTAGAACTGCTGGGATAGTGCCTCAGTGATAAGAGTTCTTGCCTAGCATGTATGGGGCACTGGGTTTGATCCACAGCACCACAAAAAACAACAACAAAACAAAACCCCAAACTTAGAGCCATGCCTTTGACTGGGAAAAAAAAAAAGGAATCACMGAAGTCTATGGTATGAAATTTTATAAGCATCAAAAACAAACTGAGGCCTGGGACTCTACCTCAGGGGTAGAGTGCTTGACTAGCATGTGTGAGACACTGGGTTTGATCTTCAGCACCACATAAAAATAGATAAAATAAAGGTATTCTGTCCATCTACAACTAAAAATATCTCAAAAACCTAAATATTATGTTTTTTAAGAATAAATTTAGGGCTGAGGTTGTGGCTCAGTAGTAGAGTGCTCGCCTAGCATGTGTGAGACCCTGGGTTCAATCCTCAGCACCACATAAAACTAAAATACAGGTATTGTGTCCAACTACAACTAAAAAATAAAATAAAAAAAAATAAAAGAATAAATTTATATGATAAAGCAGTTAAACTAGTTTTAAAAAACAAAGAAATGATACACCTTTAATTCTGTACATTTTACCATACAGGAGGTAGGGGGATAGGGTAAGTAAGGATCTATTAACTATACTGGCAACAATGTAACTCTTATTTTGGGTAATAAGTATATAGCTGTACCTGTATATATGCTAATTTATTACTATACACTCTGTATATATCAACTACTACATAATAAATTTTAAACCAGAAAACAAAAACAAACAAACAAACAAAAAACTATGCAGGTAATACCCAAAGATGGCCATTACTTAAAAAGAAAATAAGAAACCACCTAAGTGTTATAAATTACTTCAGTTGTGATACATTCAGTTACAAAGAATTTATAAAGACATGGGAAAATATTTTTTATAAGTGTGACCAATATGAAAAATGTACAGTGGCTAGGGTTGTGGCTCAGCAGTAGAACACTCACTTAGCATATGAGAGGTCCTTGGTTTGATCCTCAGTAACACATAAAAATAAATAAAATAAAAACTATTGTGTCCAACTACAACTAAAAAACCTATATTAAAAAATGTACAAAATTAGAAGAAAATATAATAAAAAGTTAATGGTTGATATTATTATAGGAAGTTTTCTATCTTCTTTACATATTTAATACTTTCCTACTGTGAGTAATATATGGTTTTAAAAAATATTAAGGATTTTTTTAACTGTCATTGAAACATTTAATGACTCCAAGTATTCAAGAAAACTGTCAAACACTCTGTTGTAAACCGAGGAAACTGGTGGTTTGTAGAAATCTGGTTGTGAAGTTACCTATCTTTAAAATTGTTATTCATGATTAAATAATTTCACTTATTTGTGTGGTAAAACAAAGAAACCAACAAACAAAAAAAAAAAACATGACTGAGAAAACCACCAGCTTAAGAGGAATTTAATTAAAACAACTGAAAACCTCTAAAAAGCACAAACAGTAAAAAAACACCTACCAATTGTTGAGAAGCTTCTGAAAACACAGAAGGCATTTATTGAGGATCTGCCTTATGTTCTCTCATAGTGAGACAGGACCACAAAGATTAAGATTCAAAAGCTAAAGGTTAGTTACATACCTCTTTTTCCAATATTCTAGTGATCTCCCCTAGTGTCCGATCCAGAGCAGAAACCTTACTGTTTGCCCATGATCCACTGTCTTGTACTTGCAGTTGTTTTAGAAGATCTTTGGCTAATCGCTGAAGTCTTCAATACAAAATGAAATAATGACATAAATGAATTAGAAAGAATACATACTTCATTTTTAGACCATATACATTTCATTTTCCTAAATATTTGAAGTTCAAGTTACTTTTGGGTATTGATTTAAAAATACTGCATAGAACACCTGAGGGRAAAAAAAAAMCAGACAACTCAGAGGCTGGTTTTACTTTACATACAAGACCCCCAATCTACTTCTTATGGCTCAAAACACATTTAGAAGACAGTATTATTCATCCATAGGATTAGCTAGAGCAATTGTTGCCTTCAATTTCTGTGTGATCCTCAAAGAAGATTTGGGCATAGAAGAAGGTAAAGATAATGATGAAACAGGAAGAGTATAAGAAAAAAAGGGTTTTTTTGCTATATAAAAATTTTTGTTTTAAAACGRCATAATTCTAAAATTTAACTAATTAATCAAATATTAAAATATGGGCTGGGGTTGGGGCTCAGCAACAGAACTCTTGCCTTRCACGTTTGAGACCCTGGGTTCGCTCCTCAGCACCACATAAAAATAAATAAGTGAAAAAAAGGTATTGTGTCCAACTAAAAATTAAAAATTAAAAAAGAAAAAATATGATGAACTAAATTTAAAAAAGAACTCTTCTTAATAATGAAGAGGGTATTAGAAGATGGAAAGACCTACAATGTTCTTGGATAGGCAGAATTAATATTGTCAAAATGACCATACTACCAAATGAAATCTATACATCCAATGCAATTCCCTTCAAATGTCAATGACATTCTTCACAAAATCATAAAAAGTTCTAAAATTCATAAAAAAATACCCATACCCAGAGTAACCAAAGTAATTATCAGCAATATGAACAAGGCTGGAGGCACCACAATGCCACATTTGAAATACTATAGAGCTAAAGTAACAAAAACAGCATGGTTTTGGCATAAAAACAGTGAAGATCAATAAAATAGAAGAGAAGACATAGAGAAAAATACACACATATAGTCATCTCATTCTTGACAAAAGTGTCAAAATCATATGCTGAAAAAAAAAGATAGCCTTTTTAAGAAATGGTGCTGGGAAAACTGGATATCCACATATACAATGAAACTGGTTGATGAAAGTCAACTTCAAAGTGAATCAAAGATCTAGGAATTCAAACAGAAATTTTACAACTGCTAGAAGAAAACATAGAGTCAACAATCCAATATACAGGCTCAGACAACAACTGAGTGCTGRGAATTGAACCCAGGAGTACTTAACCACTGAGCAACAGTCCTATAATTACATCTGGCTTATTTCATTTAGTATAATGTTCTCTAGTTCCATCCATTAGTTATATCTATATTTATATGTAGATATAAATATATACACATTTAGAGACAGGATCTTGCTGATTTGCTTAGGGCCGCACTAAGTTGCTGAGGCTGGCTTTGAACTCACGATACTCATGCCTTAGCCTCCCTAGCTATCACCATGCCCGGCCAGATCTTCATATTTTGATTTAAATACTCAAGGAAGGTTTGGATATTATAAGGACTACAAACTCTCAAAAGGTTGAACTTTCCATGTTCCCATTTATAGGTAGCTTGGTGTTACTTAAGCTAATAAAACACCTCACTTGCTTTTCACTGAGAAATACTACATGTTACCTACATTGTAAGATTCATCAGAGATGTGACTCTAGTAATACTTCTTGGTAGCCCATACTTTGGTTTTCACACACCTCATTGAGTAATCTTTTTCTATTTTCTGGTTATTTGCTTGAGCATCCTCTGACAATTATCTAGTGATCCCTAAGATAACAGTTCAACTTTTCCCCTAACGTCTGTCTTCAATTCTTGATTATGATAGATTTCATAGGACATCACTATAATTATTTTCTTACAAGTATCTTACATTCCCTCTCTGTTGTTCTGTTTGTTATTCCTATTATAAAACCCCAAGCAATGTAACAAAATGTATTTAGCTCTTCTTGTGGTCCAGGTACCATTCTCAGTGCCTTGCGTTAATTTATTTAGCTGGATTAATATCAGCTTTTTCAATTTCTGAATCTGAAAAAAAATGTACAGCATGCAGAAGGCCAATATGACTACTGACTGATTCATGATCTCATTAAATATCTCTAGTCTTCTCAGTTTCCACAAACTTGCTCTCTTCAAAACTCTAYCCACTTTCTTCAAAATTCCTCCCTTTCTTTCTCTTGCTTTAAAATCTTACACTTCACTCAGAAAAYGGAAGCTACGGGAACAAGAAAACCCTTGTTTTCTTCCATAAAATCTAAAAGCCTATCTGCATTTTCTCCAAATATAATTCAGGGAGGGCCCATCATCCTMAGTAGGGCTAATACCTCCAGAGAAGCTCTGCAATGAATCTGGTCTTTCTGTATCTCARTTCCTTTTCTCCCTGCTTTTGTGTCTTTGGACAACTGCTTTTCATTTCCTCCTCTTGATTTCCTCTTCTTGAAATGCTTTCTCCATCCTCAAATTACCTTTTAAATTTCAGTTCTAGGCCAAATATCTACTCTCTTTGATTTGAATATTCCTTCCAAACACTCATTACAAGTCAACTGAATACTTATCCAACTAGTTGTTTAATGTGTACTTCTTCCATGCAAAGCTTTCTATATTAATAAAAATGTTCTTTATTTGCATTGTCAAACATGATAGCTGTTAGCCATTATGTGGCTATTGAGTGCTGCAATATGGTTAGTATGACTGAATAACTGAATTTAAAACTGCATTTTATTTTATTTTAGTGTTTTTGGCAGTGCTAGGGATCAAACCTAGGGCCTTGCCCATGTTAGGAAAGAATTCTACCACTGAGCTACATTCACAGGCCAATTTTAATAATTTAAATAGTAATATGTGGCTAGAGACTATTCATTGCATTGGATAGTGTAGAGCAGGATTTTAAACTTCATTAGGGAGGGTCCTTGTGTACATATTTACTACTTTAGCCTTACTACCTAACATGCTACTTGAACAGAAGTGTGCTCAATAAATATTTAATGAATGAATGGTATTCTTTAATCTTTTTTTCAAAATTTGAGTTTCATATTTATTCTTTTTTTTAACTGTCAGAATCAACTTTATTATAACTCTGGAGATCAAAAGTTTATAGCAATCACATAAATGTTTAATCAAGGGGGATAAAAAAAAACCTGCTGCATCTCAGCAGGGTTTAAACCTCTCAAGCTTCTTTTTTTTCAGGTATTTAATTCTTTCTTTATTTTTAGTCATACATGACAACAGAATGAATTTTGACATATAATACATACATGGAATGTATACATCAATCATATTGTCAATTCTATTCTGCTGCCCTTCCTATCCTCCTTTATTCTTTAATCTTAAAAATATCCCTTAACCTCAAAAGTTAAAAAATACTTTCATATACATGATTTTGTTTTATCCACTGAATAACACTGGCAATTAGTATTATCCCTATTTGAATAACAAAGAAACTGAAGCTCAAGGAAGTTAGGTGACTTTACCAAGGTCACACAGTTGGCAAAACATACTACTGGGATTCAAAACCTGAGTCTTTCATGTTTAAATCTCATGCTTTTGTCTCTATACTTTATTGGTTAACTCAAATGAAGAAGTTTCATTCACAAATGAATAACTTTAGGATACAAATACATCTAAAAGTTTATGTAAAGTTTAAAAAGTTATCAAAGAATACAAGAGCAACCACAGCTCAAAATAGCACCAGTGAGCCCCAGTATAAACTTAAGCATCTATATGAAGTTTACTTTGATAAGTTAAAGAAAGAATACAAGCTCTAAAACTAGAAGAACCTACATTTGAATTTTGGCTTCAGCACATGAAATGTGTATAAACCCTGGGAGGTACTCAATGTCTCTGCATCTTAGTTTCTTCACTGCAAAAGTTGGGATTGGAGGAAAATTGTGTGTGTGTGTGTGTGTGTGTGTGTGTGTGTGTGTACACACGCACAAGCTTTCAGAGCTTTTAAAGATCAGAGATAATACCTAATAGCATGCATTAAAGTAGACATCCAATAAATGGTCAACTATTATTACTATTCCTTAACAGGAGGTCTCATTCTAACAAAAGGGAAAAAGGAATACAAAAAATAATAGTAACTAACTTCTTTTTCCTTCTAATCAAATGTGGGCAAGAGTCCCATCCTGATTAATGTGACTGATCTTACTATTTCRAACAATACTGGCATCAAACTTCATTGTGGGATAGAAAAGTAGCCACTTCAGGTTTTGGTTGAATAAAGTCTGCACACTATGTAACTAAATATCTACCCATAGCAACACAATCTAGCAGTATTCTGACCAAGAATGCTCACATTCCACTGAGAACCAGAAGTACTTAGGGAAGCACAAGAACCATTTTAATTCACAGAATGAAAGAAGCTTATATTTCACCCTGAGGTAAATAAAATCTGGGGTTCACATGAACCTACTACCTTCAAGGAAGAATGCCAAATCAAGGGGATGCTTTGGAAACATGAACGAAACCCCTGTCTCATTCCCTGCCTCCACAAAGTCCCATAAATAATATAGCTTCTCTCAAGACAAACAAAACATTAGATTTTGGTGTACACTGTAAGTATCGAGTATTATAGAAGTAAAAAAAAAAAAATTTAACTGAAAGTTAAATTTTCCCCATAGTGCAAGAAWGGGAGTTGTTTATAGAGTGCAATTTTTAATACAGAAATTGTTACTTGGGTTACTTCTAGAAGATCATTTTACTAGCATGAAAAGAATAAGTGGAAGCTTCCTAACTCCTTACCTAGAACAGGAGAAATCTGTCAGGTAAGTGGCATTGTTGAGAATGTTGGAAGATCAGATGTTTTCTTCTCAAAACTTGCACAAATTCTAACAACTCTATGGGGGATTCCACTAGAATCATTTGGAAGATTTGTAAAAGTGTACGAAAGGAGTCTGAGTCTACTCTAGGAGCATAGTTCTTTAGTATGATAGAAAGATGTCAATTTGTTATCCTTTTTTTAATCCCTTCTGTTTAAAAAATACAGTATATGAATTTAT